GTGTGTGTGTGTGTGTGTGTGTGTGTGTGTGTGTGTGTGTGTGTGTGTGAGTGTGTGAATTCATCATCCCTAAATTAACATTCACGAACGGATGGAGAGGGATTTGAACCCCGATATTTTGTAATATTATACTTTACGGAACATCAGCACTGTGGAACAATGAATTTTTCCATGCTATTCAAAAGGCTTGCATGGCTCTAGCGAGGGCTTGGAACAAGGAATTTTTCTGGCACGAGAGTGGACCGTTAGATCATGAGTGAACATCAACACTGTGGGCTGAGCGAGTGTGTGTGTGTGTGTGTGTGTGTGTGTGTGTGTGTGTGTGCGTGTGTGTGTGTGTGTGTGAGTGTGTGTGTGTGTGAATTCATCATCCCTAAATTAACATTCACGAACGGATGGAGAGAGATTCGAACCCCCGATATTTTGTAATATGATAGTATACGGAACTTCAGCACTGTGGAACAAGGAATTTTTCCATGCTATTCGAAAGGCTTCCATGGCTCTAGCGAGGGCTTGGAACAAGGAATTTTTATGGCACGAAAAAGGACCGTTAGATCATGGGCGAACATCCGCACTGTGGGCAGAGCGAGTGTGTTGTGTGTGTGTGTGTGTGTGTGTGTGTGTGTGTGTGTGTGTGTGTGTGTGTGTGTGTGTGAATTCATCATCCCTAAATTAACATACACGAACGGATGGAGAGGGATTCGAACCCCCGATATTTTGTAATATACTACTATACGGAACATCAGCATTGTGGAACAAGGAATTTTTCCATGCTATTCGAAAGGCTTGCATGCTTCTAGCGAGGGCTTGGAACAAGGAATTTTTCTCGCACGAGAGAGGACCGTTAGATCATGGGTGAACATCAGCACTGTGGGCAGAGCGTGTGTGTGTGTGTGTGTGTGTGTGTATGTGTGTGTGTGTGTGTGTGTGTGTGTGTGTGTGTGTGTGTGTGTGTGTGAATTGATCATCCCTAAATTAACATTCACGAATGGATGGAGAGGGATTCGAACCCCTGATATTTTGTAATATGATACTTTACGGAAGATCAGCACTGTAAAACAAGGAATTTTTCCGTGCTATTCGAAAGGCTTGCATGGCTCTAGCGAGGGCTTGGAACAAGGAATTTTTCTGGCACGAAAGAGGACCGTTAGATCATGGGCGAAGATCAGCACTGTGGGCAGAGCGAGTGTGTGTATGTGTGTGTGTGTGTGTGTGTGTGTGTGTGTGTGTGTGTGTGTGTGTGTGTGTGTGTGTGTGTGTGTGTGAATTCGTCATCCCTAAATTAACATTCACGAACGGATGGAGAGGGATTCGAACCCCCGATATTTTGTAATATGATACTATACGGAACATCAGCAATGTGGAACAAGGAATTTTTCCATGCTATTCGAAAGGCTTGCATGGCTCTAGCGAGGGCTTGGATTTCTGGCACGAAAGAGGACCGTTAGATCACGGACGAACATCAGCAGTGCGGGTAGAGCGAGTGTGTGTGTGTGTGTGTGTGTGTGTGTGTGTGTGTGTGTGTGTGTGTGTGTGTGTGTGTGTATGTGTGTGTGTGTGAATTCATCATCCCTAAATTAACATTCACGAACGGATGGAGAGGGATTCGAACCCCCGATATTTTGTAATATGATAGTATACNAGAGGGATTCGAACCCCCGATATTTTGTAATATGATAGTATACGGAACATCAGCACTGTGGACCAAGGAATTTTTCCATGTTATTCGAAAGGCTTGCATGGCTCTAGCGAGGGCTTGGAACAAGGAATTTTTCTGGCACGAAAGAGGACCGTTAGATCACGGGCGAACATCAGCACTGTGGGCAGAGCGAGTGTGTGTGTGTGTGTGTGTGTGTTTGTGTGTGAGTGTGTGTGTGAGTGTGTGTGTGTGTGTGTGTGTGTGTGTGTGTGTGTGTCTGTGTGTGCATGTGTGCATGCGTGTGTGTGTGTGTGCCACCAGGATCCTGACAGCAGGCCATGGCCCCTGCGGTTGGGCAAGGCCGAGAAATTGTCATATTAAAAAAAAAAAAGAGACCCAAGAAAAAGAAACTATCGGGTTGTAGGGTAGCTCAGTTGGTAAGGCACGCAAGTGGCATTCAGGATGTCTTGGGTTCAATCCCCGTTGGCCTTATGTGCCTTTATCCTGGGCATGCTTGGCGCCCGCCACCTAGAGATAGCCCTTTGGTCCCCCCAATTGGCATTGAAAAGCAGTGTCTGCTGATGTTCATAGGGGGAGGTGGGGTAATCGGGGAGGCACAGCGACTGGCCACTCAGATGATGCTCTGTCCCTCTGCTACCGGCTCCCCTGGCCGGTGTCCCCTCGCCGGTGTCCCCCGTTAGGGGTTCCCTGAAGGCACTTAGCCTTATGGTTAGGTGTTAGCCTGCCAAGCCGTTGGACGTGTGTTCGAGTCTTGTATTTGTGACATGCTTTCGCGCAGTAACCACCGTAGAAATTGTACTACGGGTGAGTGGCTGTGTAGGGTGAGTGTGGTTGGGTACATCCGGTTGGGGGATCTCCGTGCTGGGGTGGGGTGAAGTGCTTAGGTTTGAGTCATAGGGCTTCACTTTCACCAAAGCCCACTTAGCTTTATGGTTAGGTGTTAGCCTGCCAAGCCGTTGGACGTGTGTTCGAGTTTTGTATTCGTCACACACACCGTGGGCTGAAAAGGCCACCCAATGTCAGATTAGACACAATATTGAATTTACCTGGGCTGGTTAGTCCGATGATAATACCTCAAGGCCAGCGCCCTTTTAACCAAAAAAAAGCCCTACAACCCTCTTTTTTTTTTTGGATTTCAACGTTTTTTGTTATTTTTAAAAAAATAAAAAACGAAAAAACAGTATTACTTGAAAAAGAAAAGTAATAACAAATGGATTTTTTTCTTTTTCATTTTTTTTTTGATTGCCGGCATGATAAACATGTTGCACATGTTTTTTTTTTTTTTTTTTTAATGGACAGATGCAAAGATAAAAGGGGAAAAGATTGAAAAATAGTAATAATAATAAATTTAAAAAGCCAGAAAAGTTATTTTTCTTTCCCTTTTTTTTGTTTTTGACACACATACTGATCTACTGATTGATTGATTGATTGATTGATTGATTGATACAAAAAAAAAGCAAAAGCACGCGCGTGTGTGTGTGCGCGGGGTGGGGGGGTGGGAACCCCTCCTCCACCAATCAATCAACCAATCAATCCAAAAAAAAAGAAAACAAAACAAAAAAATAAGAACCCTCAATCAATCAATTAAAAAAAAAACAAAAAGAAAGAAAGTGTTCGACCTCTGTTTGTGTGTGTGTGTGCCTGC